GCGTGTGCCACCATGTGCAGCCCATGGTCTCTTTCCTTCCAGCTTATTACTGCATGGGCTACACTGAGACTTAGTTATCAGCCTCACAGCCAGGAAAGGTAATACAGATCCTGAGGGAGCCTGTGTGGCCTGTGTCTTCCCATACTGGGAACAGGAGGTGAGAATGCCAGCTCTTAATAAAAGAAATGGGTGCCTCTGAAAGGTCTAGGGGTACAGCTCTCCAATGCAACGGGCAGCTCCAGAATAGAAATTCCCTATTAGGGCTCTTACAATCCACTTTATAGGTTTCAATATAGAAGCAATAGTTTAAATTAGTTACTGCCAGGAAAAAAAATGAGTAAAAAAAGCATGTTTTATGGTAAACAAATAAGATGCTATTGCAAGCGTCCCCAAACTTTTTACACAGGGGGCCAATTCACTGTCCCTCAGACTGCTGGAGGGCCGCCACATACTGTGCTCCTCTCACTGCCCACCAATGAAAGAGGCGTCCCTTCCCGAAGTGCGGCGGGGGGCCGGATAAATGGCCTCAGCCCCACGGGCTGTAGTTTGGGGACGCTTGTCAATGAATGAATTAATTTGACATCAGATTGAAGCAAGCTACTTACTACCAAGTATCAGTTTCAGCTTCTTCTCAATTTTCTCTTCCTTTTTAGAGTAACGATATTTTGGAAATTCCAGAGTCTCAAAAATATGTGAACAGGCCAGGCACGGTGGCTCATGCCTGTAATCCCAGCACTTTGGGAGGCCAAGGTGGACGGATCACAAGGTAAGGAAATCAAGACCATCCTGTCCAACATGGTGAAACCCTGTCTCTACTAAAACACAAAAAAATTAGCCAGGTGTGGTGGCAGGCGCCTGTAATCCCAGCTACTCAGGAAGCTGAGGCAGGAGAATCACTCGAACCCGGGAGGTGGAGTTTGCAGTGAGCCAAGATCGCGCCATTGCACTCCAGCCTGGCGACAAGAGTGAGACTCCATCTCAAAAAGAAAAAAATGTGAACAGAGATGACAAGAGGTTTATAAGTATGTATGCTTGCTTGTTTTTACTACATTGCAAGCTATGAAGAGAAATAAGGAAAGACACTTAGAATGCAGCTACAAAGATAAAAAGCAAGAAGACATTTCAAGTTACTGTCAGACATTCTGTGAGAACAAGTCACTAATGACATAAGGAAGACTGATAGGTTACCGGCTCCGGGGCTAGTCTCAGGATTACCTGTCCAGAAACATTTTCAGTGAAGAAAGTGACATTTCACCATGGAAGCCGTTAATTTATCACATTTAAATAGTTCAGTCTTCAAAATCAACTTTCTGCACACAATGCTCAAACTTCACTTTTTATTGAAACAATGCTATTATTTTCAGTGAAAACATTCACAATTTATCATGTGCCATCCTTTTAAACATACCACTCAAAGAGAAGTGGTTTTGAGATGAGACATTCCCAAAGGAAGCAGGCGGGTCCGAGGGTATTTCGCTCACAGCTATGGATGGAACTCCGGTTTCTACTTCCCTGCCTCTCGCCATTGCTTTTGACTAAACACGTCACGGAAGCAGTGTTCATTAACTGAGGAGATAAGCACTCCCAGAGTCTTACATGTGATTGATTTGGCCCCGTTTATTTTTTTAAGTTATGACTCTGTTCACTAACAACTCATGTATCTTACTGAAATATTTTTGTTTGTACTTTGCAAATAAACATAATTTCACCAATATTCTCATTGCAAACAGTGGTAAACAAAAATCAATGAAAAACTAGATCAATATTTGTCTTCAATGTAACATACTTGAATACGCTTTTAAGCATTTGAAAATGTGCCCTTCAATAGTAGAGTTCAAAAAAGTCAATTGTTTCAGTTTGAATACCAAGTTTTGAGGCAAAACATGTTTTGGCCAAATCTGCAGTTCCAAATCTTTATCAAATTTCCTTCTTGTCAGTAGCTTTGTTACCCAAAAGGATTCCAAAACAGATTTTAAAGGTGGCTTTAATTATATTATTTTTTGTTTAAATTATTGTATGGGTTTTCCTTTTCAGATTGCAAATTTTTAGTGACTTTCTTAATTTGTGGGGTTGGTTTTTAAAAGCCCCTGGAAGAGAGGGTTCTTTTATATAGTTACTCAGAGTTTGTACCCTTATAATCATAGTACGGTTTAAGCTATCTTGTACATCCTCAATAAGACTCATGCCTAGAGAAATGTCCGTGGGAGGCACATCTACTGCTCTTCCACATTTCCTTACACACTTGCACCTACATAAACGCATGTACATATTCTGGGCTAGGGAATGAAACACGTAAGCCATCTCCAAGTCAAAGCATTTAACAGCCAGCACGTGATCTTCCAAATATGAGAGCTGTGTTTTGCGATGAGTCACAATATGAAAGCAGACTCGACACCGAGTACCTGTTTGGAAGGAGCTGCAGAGTATATGGATCTGTAATCTATAATCAACCAGGCATGTGAGAAACAAGCCATTGCATTAAGCCACTGAGATTGTGATATGAATGTGCTTCCGCCCGTACCCAGAATCTGAGAACGTTCTCCATTTCTTCACTGACCGCCGCCTCCTACCGCTCACTCTGCTGTAGCTGGAGGAATGCTAACTTCTTCTGGGAGGCTTAATGAGGAGGTCTTCGGGGACACTTCCACCTTTGATCATTTTGCTTATTTTATGACGAGCATTTTATATATTCATGGGTTTTAAGCTTAGGTGCCAAAATTTTTATTTATGAATATATAAAATGTTCTTAATTGAAGATGTAATTTAAAATGTGTAATATTTTAAGATGACAAAAAGAAACATTACAATAGCTCTTAAAATGGAACTTCAGGTATATTTCTGTGATGAGAAAACTCACTGGCACAGGAAGTAAAACTAAGCAGAGCTTCATACATATGTAAACAAAAGATTTGGTTATAGAAATTATGTTAGTAAGTTATATGGATTTGTGAGAACCCAATGCTTTCTATAATCAAAATTATAAGTAAATACACAAACAATTTCAGAAGAAAGAGGCAACCTCATTCTTCAAAATAATGACAATGTAAGCCTCTGTAGGATCATGAGAAATTACATTACATGTCTGGTACAGGCCCTGCTTTGGAGGGAGTGGACAGTGAGCAGGAAACTGCATTTGCATAATCTAGGCACACAGCGACAATGGACCCAATTGTGTATGGTGGGGGGTGGCAAATAAACCAGTGACATGAAAGTCAAAATTTCTTAGTGAGTTCTTGGTTTGTAGCAATATAAAAACATATAAAAATTGAATAAATACAAAATATAAAAGCAAACAATAACTGCTGCTTTTGCTTGTGGATTTATATGACAAATGTTTAAAAAATAATAATAATCCAGCCGGGCATGGTGGCTCACGCCTGAAATCCTGGCACTTTGGGTCGCCAAAGAAGGTAGATCACTTTAGCCCAGGAGTTCAAGACCAGCCTAGGCCACATGGTGAAACCTCATCTCTACAAAAAAAAATACAAAAGTTGGCCAGGAGTAGTGGCATGCACCTGTGGTCCCAGCTACTCGGGAGGCTGACATGGGAGGATCACCCGAGTCCAGGGAGGTTAAGGCTGCAGTGAGCAGAGATTGTACCACTGCATTCCAGCCTGGGTGATGGAGTGAGGCTGTCCCCCCACCACACACACACACACACACACACACACACACACACACACACATCACACATCCACAACTTTCCTCTAAAATCTTAACACAGATTTCAGAAAGATGAGACTTGTGAATTCTTTGGTTTTAATTACCCCCAGCACACTAATATGTATATTCCCAGGGCTAAAATTACCCCAATTTGAGAAGCATCACTTCCGTTTCTCTGAAGATTATGCTTGAATCATACTAGGATACCTGAACACTTTGAATTTTGATTGACTGCACGGATTTTCATCCGTGCTTTCACTGGGTGATATTTCATTTTTATGCCATCAATTTACATTAAGGGAGTAACGTGAAACACATTTATCACTCACTACTGGAGCTATCTTTGGTATCTTGTTGAGAGTATTGTATACAATTTCATATAATGTCCTCTTTATGCAGTTAAAAGAAATGAATGTCTTTCCTACCTCAGTCCAGAAAAAAAAAAAAACTTTCCCTTTCCCAGGAGACTGGTTTGTTTCTTAAGCTATGACACTGCATCTTATAATTTGATCTCTGTGGTAGGCATCCTGCCAAGATGGCCCGCAATGATCCTCGCCTCCTGACATTCACATTCTTGTATAACTGATTTCCACAATGTACCAGAGATGGTTTGTGTAACCAAAAGATTACTATGGAAATGTTAGTTTGTCATTTCCTGGACTACATCCTAAAAGGCAATATAGCTTCCTCTCTATCTTTCTTAAGTCACTCACTCTGGGTAAATCCAGCTGCCATGTTATACGGACACCCAGGCAGCCCTGTTCAGAGGCACGGCAAGGACCTGGTGTAACCTACCAATAGCCAGCCCATCGGGGGGCCAAGGCCAGGATGAGTTATCTCGGCAGCCAACGGCCACGTGATGAGTTATCTTGGAAGTGGATCCTTCAGCCCTTGTTGATATCTTAACTGCAGCCTCATGAAAAATTCTGAGCCAGAATCACCCAGCTAAGTCACTCCTAGGTTCTTGATCCTCCGAGACAACGGTTGTTGCTTTAAGCAGCCAAGTTTTGAGGTAATTTGTTACATGATAATAGATAATTTATCCATCATCTTCCCTTTTTTTCTGGCTGTTAGGGACCCTAGATTCAAATATGAAACTCACTTCTAAGATCTATATAGGAATCCCATCATGTTTTTTATGCTAGTATTTTTTGCTTTATTTCCTTTTTTAAAATTTTAATTCCATCTTCTGTTTATTTAACTTTACTACAATATGCCATAAGCCACTAAATAGTTTTGGGAGATGAGGCAAAGCATTTTTATGACAAGATATAACCAGAGGAAGAAAATAGTATAGAAGCAAAGAAACAAAGATTGCATGTTATGTCTTAGTTTGAAGCTTTCTTCACCATGGAGGAAACCCCGGTTTTATTTGAAACTTTTAAAAAAGATTTAAACATAAGTTCTAGATAGAAAAAAATAAAAATATTCAGCAAAATTATAAGTGATTAGAAATGGATATATTTTTATCTTCTAAGTAGTGATTCCCAATCACCAGTCCATATATTTTCACCAGTCTGCCAGAAAACAAGAAAAAGAACAATGCATTCAATTTTCCATTAAATTTGTTCAACTTACATATGACTGTTTATGCTGAGATTCCTGTTCCTCCTCATTTGCATGTGCCTTCTTTCAGATGTGACCATAGCAGAGAGTGGGGGTTGCTTCGTTTGATGCTCTCAGTCACACTATCAGCCCATCCCCCCTCCACAGCATTGATGTGGTTTTGTTTGGTTTTGTCTTAGCATTTCCTGGGCAGGAAACTACTAAGTGCAGGAACCCCTGTTTCTAGAGAAAGATGGTGGGGAGGTGGCAGGATAATATTTGAAGGGGAAGAAACACACCTTCCGTACACTCTGTTTTCACAACGCTAACTACAGGAGCGAAAGCTCAACTGCCTGTATCTTAGGTCTTCCCTTCCCCGATCTGGCTGAGTGACATTATTCTAGAGCAGTCAAGCACCTACCTTTGAACCTTGGGCCCTGTGGAGATAATATGGGAGATCACCCAATCCTTTAGCACACTAAAATCACCTGTAGTCTCAAGACCATCTCCAGATGATATATGCACTATGTTTCCAATGGGTCGAGATGCTAGGTACAGTTAATCAAATTCCATTAAAAGTGGGCTAACTTCATGGCAATTTTTATATATTGTGTCTTCTCCCGAATACTAAATACAAAAATATAATTACTGTAGGTAGGCATTTTCTTAAAATTTTTCATGCTTTTAAAAAGGGGCGCTGGAGACAGTGGGGAACAATTGGTGCTATATAAATGCTTTTAAATACATAGATTATGGAAGCCCCCAAGAAGAAAACTGAAAAGAAAGCATAACTAAATGGTTGAATATTTTTCCCCATAATACAAGCTCCTGGGAAGGGGTTTCAGCAGTGACAGATTCTCAACCTGACACATAACTGTTTAATTTTCTTAATAAGATTAAGTGTTCCTTGCTGCTATCTCCAAATGAAATTAAGTTGCCTCACTTTTAAAGGTGAAATTCTTTCTTTTTCAGATTATCCAAATAACTTGTTCATTATGTCTAACATCCTATTTATGAGAAAATAAAACCAATTTCCCTAAACAACTCCTGAAATTTACTAATTGCTTCATATAACAGCGCTCCAGTTTCCACAAGTAATGCAAGAAGATGGTCAGAGCCTACAACCTCTCAGCGAGGAGTATGTTCACTATCTCCTGTGGTGCTGTGAGTACTTAAACATGCCTGCAGCACTTTACTGTACTTTCCATGTCATTTCATCTCACCTGTGCTTTGCATTGCCCTGTGATAAACTATTATCAACTTACATCTTTCCCAATAATGGATATTGTATCCGTTGAGTCACAGAAACACATGTTCAGAACCAATCTAACCAGTTTTTAACTTGGGGAGGATGAGAGATACACCTGACACTATTCTACCTTTCAGCAGAGCACATGGACCTAAGAAAAAGGCCACGAGTCAACCTTGGTCGCTTCCCCAACAACTCTTCACAGCTGTGTTCCTCCCTTTTCAGGGATTGTTTTCTAGGTTTGCTTTCCCCTCAGATCTGGAGAATAAGTAAAGCCCTGCAAAGTAAATGGCCTTGTGGGGGGTGGGGGGAGATCGGGGGAGGGGGAAGGTGGTGGAAAGCTACATCTTAGAGATGGAAAGGAAAACAAAACAGAATAACACCTAAGCCCAATGCTTGAATGTATAAAACCAGGAAATGAGGCCCTGGGTGGCCTGTGTGTGTGACTAAGGTCAGACCACGATTTACAGCAGCAGCCAGGATTGGAATTCAGCCTCCCCAGTGCCAGCCTAGAGTTTCTCCTATGTAGGAATTCCTGATATTAACATATACGTGGATGGAGAATTGGCAGGAAGAATGAAGTATTCTTTTTTTCTTTTCTTAAGAAACAGGGTCATGGCCGGGCGCAGTGGTTCACGCCTGTAATCCCAGCACTTTGGGAGGCCGAGGTGGGCGGATCATGAGGTCAAGAGATCGAGACCATCGTGGTCAACATGGTGAAACCCCGTCTCTACTAAAAATACAAAAATTAGCCAGGCGTTTCGCACACGCCTGTAGTCCCAGCTACTTGGGAGGCGGAAGAATCGCTTGAGCCCGGGAGCAGAGGTTGCAGTGAGCTGAGACTGCGCCACTGTGCTCCAGCCTGGCGACAGAGCAAGACTCCGTCTCAAAAAAAAAAAGAAAGAAAAAAGAAACAGGGTCTCACTTTGTTGCCCAGTCTAGAATGCAGTGGTGCAATAAGAACTCACTGTAACCTCAACTTCCTGGGTTCAAGCAATCCCCCTGTCTCAGCCTCCCTAGTAGCTAGGACTATAGGCATGCACCACCAGACCTGGTTAACTTTTTTTTAAATGTTTTTTGGTAGAGACAGGGTCTCACTATGTTGCCCAGGGTGATCTGAAACTCCTGGCCTCAAGCGATCTTCTCGCCCTAGCCTTCCAAAGCACAGAGACTACAGGCCTGAGTCACCATGCCCAACCAAGATGAAATAGTCTAATAAGGCATTCCAGTTCTAATTTGATGACTCTCAAAGGAAATTTTAAGAGGCCCTATGTCTAGAAAGGAAGGAAGTCCTTCATCTGGAGTCTCTTCTATCACAGCAAATGCTGGTTTCAAAAACAATTTAGTTTTACATTTGCTTTGAAAAGCCGAGTAATGTTGGCCAGACCCAGTGGTTCACACCTGTAATCCCAGCACTTTGGGAGGCTGAGGCAGGTCACCAGGTCAGGAGTTTGAGACCAGCCTGGCCAATATGGTGCAACCCCATCTCTACTAAAAATACAAAAATTAGCTGGGCGTGGTGATGGGCGCCTGTAGTCCCAGCTACTCTGGAGGCTGAGGCAGGAGCATCGCTTGAACCCAGGAGATAGAGGTTGCAGTGAGCTGAGATCGTGCCACTGGACTCCAGCCTGGGCCACAGAGCGAAACTCCATCTCAAAAAAAAAGAAAAGTATAGTAATGTTGTCATGGCATAGCTACCCAGTCAACATTTTATTTAGGGCCACAAGTTTTCTAAAAGTGAAATAAAAATAAAAAAACAAAACATTTCCCATTTCACAGAATGCAAAAAGAAAGGGGAGAGGGGAGGGAGAGAGAGAGAGAGAATGACATTATAATTAATAGATACATAACAGTTGCTTGGTCTACCCAGGCTGCTTCAACAAAATACCTTAGACTGGGTAATTTATAATAAAAATAATTTATTGCTCACAGTTCTGGAGGCTGGGAAGTCTAAGATAAAGGTGACAGCAGATGTGTTGTCTGGTGATGGCTTCTTCCTCACAAATAGCACCTTTTATGTGTCCTCATGTGGTGGAAGAAGCAAACAAGCTCCCTCAGGCCTCTTTTATAATGGCACCAGTCACATTCATGATGGTGAGGTTTTGCCCTCCTGACCTCATCACCTCCTAGAGGCCCAACCTTAATATTTTCGCCCTGGGGGTTAATTTCAACATATGAATCTGAGGGGAACACAGATATTCAGACCACAGCAACAGTGAAAGCCAATGAACAAATTAAATGATATTTTCTGACCTTCATTGACTTCGAGTTGTTTTAATTATCAATAAATAATACTACCTACCTCATCTTTACATTTTAAAAATCACTGCCAGCAAAAGATCAACAAACTATGAGCAGATGAAGTCCAGGAATTGAGGACACAGTGATATTGAACAGAAGGTGTTTCAAATTGCACCCATCCTATTTCATTACCTTAGAATCTATTAAATTTTAAAAATTATATTAATTACCATTACTGGACCTACTCTCTCTTAAATTCTATATAGGTTTTCCACTTAGCTTTAATGCATAGAATCTAATCTCTAAAATTGTAATTATACACTATTAAATAATACCATCATAATGATGGCACTCTCCCACTTTTTATTGAAATTTTGATTATGGCTTAAATTTTTAAATGAATTATGAAGGGCAGTACTCCTCAAAAACAGAGTATCATTTTAGTTAACAAAAACATTACAACATCGGCCGGGCGCGGTGGCTCAAGCCTGTAATCCCAGCACTTTGGGAGGCCGAGGCGGGTGGATTACGAGGTCAAGAGATCACGACCATCCTGGTCAACAAGGTGAAACCCCCGTCTCTACTAAAAATACAAAAAGTTAGCTGGGCATGGTGGTGCGTGCCTGTAATCCCAGCTACTCAGGAGGCTGAGACAGGAGAAATGCCTGAACCCAGGAGGCGGAGGTTGCGGTGAGCCGAGATCGCGCCATTGCACTCCAGCCTGGGTAACAAGAGCAAAACTCCGACTCAAAAAAACAAACAAACAAACAAACAAAAAAACATTACAACATCAACTTCATGACACTAGATGGCAGCAAACAATGAGAAGGGCCAAACACGTCCAAGGAAACGCAAGGGTGTCACATAAATATTGAGAGTGAGTAAAAGCGATCATAGTATTTGGGAAAGAGAAATAAAGCTTCAACTTGACTGACATCTGAACAGTTTTCAAGATTTGTCATTAATTTCTTCTTTATTCAGCAAACACTGATAGATTATTGAACAAATGCATTGACAGATTAAGCGACAAATAATACATTGATAAATAAACGTTGATAGATTAAACAGACTATAATGAAGTGCTATGACAGCATTTCCTCTGTCGATTTTGTATTTCTCAGATAGCAAGTACAGCCCTAATTTGTTGCTTTCGTACAGACAAAAACTGTATTTTTGTCTTTGAAGACTCCTTGTTTACCACACACCTTTGATACATAGCAGTTCCTAGCTACTCTGTAGTCTCCAGTCATAACAATGCCCTCTCATACCTCTGTGTTTTGCTATTCCCCGCATGTGGAATGATGCCTAGCCCTTACACACACAAACACACACACCATCCCTTTCAAGTTCTTTCTTGCCAAGCCTTCAGTGACCATCATAAGCATATCAGGGTTCCCAAAACATTCTGAAAATGCCTGTATTCATGATAGCTCTGTGTTATATCATATTTGACTGCCTTCTCCACTACACCTTCAGCAGTATGTCGTATTTTGGTATAGCAACCACCTAGCGATGTCTCTTACAGGGTAGGCTTTCTGTAAACTTTTGTTCAGTGATTTAGGTGTGTTACAGAAAAATCAAGCTTCTATGTTTGAGGTCTGATTATGACTCATAAATGTAGGTACAAGTATCTTATAATTTGTTGTGATCACATATTAAGACTTATTAAACTGGCCTATAAAGACTGGGTACAGTGGCTCATGCCTATTATCCCAGCACTTCAGGAGACCAAGGCAGGAGGATCACTTGAACCCAGGAGGTCAAGGGTTCAATAGCTGTAATCACACTAGTGGTTCTGATGGTCACACCTCCTGGGTTCAAGGAGGTCAAGGCTGCAATAGCTGTAATCACTGGTGTGATTACAGTTGGGTTCATTCCAGCCTAGAGTGACAGAGCAAGAATCCGTCTTGAAAACAAAAACGAAAACAAAACAAAACCAAAAAAAAAAAAAGAAAGAAACTTGTCAGTAAGTCAGAAGCCCTTCCAAGACAGATCCAAAGTTCATGATAACTCATTGTTCTGTAATACTAATACCACGGAGAAGTATTAAAGTGTAGGAGAAGCAAAAAAGAAAGAGAGAGAGAAGTAGTATAAGGAGGAGAATAGTGGGAAGAAGAGAAGTTAGAAGGAGAAGAAAAAAAACAAAGGCTAGCAATGTTCCATGCATTATGCTAAGTACTTTATCTCATTAAATTGTTATAGCAGCCTTACGATAGATACCATGAATAACCCCATTTTACAAAAGAGGCTCTTAAAGTTAAAGAAATTTACTCAAGGACACAGACAGTAAGTGATGGGGTTTATAAATATTCTATTGACCTTTATCTTTGTCTGAAACTACTTCAACTAATTCCACATTCATTCCACTTATCAGATAAACAATATGTAGGTTTTCTAAATACAGTCTAGTAACTTCTTGGTTTATCCATCACACAGCTTTAGGAACAGGATAATTCAAGTAAAACAGTATAGAATCCCTACTGAGTAATTCTAACTTACACTATATTAGAAATATTTGTCAAAGATGATGTGATTTAGGAAATTCAAGGCCACATGGTGACTCACGCCTGTAATCCCAGCGCTTTGGCAGGCCAAAGCAGGCAGATTACTTGAGACCAGAAGTTTGAGGCCTGCCTGACCAACATGGTGAGATCCTGTCTGTACTAAAAATACAAAAAATTAACTGGGTGTGGTGGTGCACGCTTGTCATCACAGCTACTGGAGAGGCTGAGGTGGGAGAATCACTTGAGCCCAGGAAGCGGAAGTTGCAGTAAGCCAAGGTGGTGTCACTGCACTCCAGCCTGGGTGACAGCAAGACTCCAATCTCAAAAAAAAAAAAAAGAAAAGAAAAGAAAAGAAATTTGAGTGCCAATGATAGTTGATGAAATCAGGTTGACAGACCGTGTTTAATGCTTCTCATGATTTTGAGTGAGCAAAGCAGACCTCTGGAGCAGCAGCTCCCGACCTGTTTGGCACCAGGGACCAGTTTCGTGGAAGACAATTTTTCCATGGACTGGGGTATGGATGATTTTGGGTGATTCAAGGGCATTACCTTTATTGTGTACTTTATTTCTATTATTATTTCATTGTAATATATAATGAAATAATGATACAACTCACCATCATGTAGAATCAGTGGCAGCCCTGAGCTCGTTTTCCTGCAACCAGACGGCCTCATCTGGGGGTGATGGGAGACAGTTACAGATCATCAGGCATTAGAGTCTCATAAGGAGCGTGCAACCTAGATCCCTTGCACACGCAGTTCACAATAGGGTTCACACTCCTATGAGAATCTAATGCCTCCATTCATCTGGCAAGAGGCGGAGCTCCGGTGGTAACGTGAGTAGTAGAGAGTGGCTGTAAATCCACATGAAGCTTTGCTCACCCACCACTCACCTCCTGCTGTGTGGTCTTAACAGGCCATGGACTGTACCAGAGGTCGAGGGCCCCTGCTCTAGAATATATACATAATTATCTCCTTTATAGGCTATTTATCACTTACTCTACTTTATTTTTCTTGATTTTTGTAGCCGACTTTGACATTTGTTTTCCTCTTCTCCCCACACCTCACTCCCAGCATGTGTCCTCTTCCATCTTTTTGGCTTTTCGTCAACTATCCCTAATTAAACAAAAAAAAGAAAGAAAGAAATCCAAAAGAATTAGAAACAATGCAGTGAGCAAATGAAAACTTAAAATACACAAATAATGACTATTCATGTCCTATGAAATAACAGACAATAGGATATCTGTGAAACAAGAGCAGGATGCTATTTAAAAAAAAAAAAAACACTCAGAGGCAAAGCATTTTCTTTATCTATTGCTGCATGACAAATTACTTTAAAACTTAGCAACTTACAACAAATATTATCTCACACAGTTTCTGTGAGTCAAGAATCTGGGAGCAACTTAGCTAAATGGTTTAGAATCAGAGTCTCTCATAAAACTGCAGTCAAGCTGTCATCCAGGGCTGCAGTTTTCTGAAGATTTGGAGGACCTTCTTTAAGATAGTTCATTACATGGCTGCTGCTAAGATACCTCAGTTTATCTACACAGACCTCGCCATAAGATTCTTGGGGGTTCTCAAGACATAGTTACTGGTTTCTTCCAGAGCCAAGTAATCAAGAGAAAAGGCAATCAGAAAGCCCCGGTTTCCTTTACAACCTAGTACCCAAAGTCACACACCTATCACTCGCTCTTTTCTAAAAGTTCATTACAAGTTACTAACCGAGCCCATATGCAAGAAGAGGGTTATTAGGCTACAGTGTTTTGATAGGAGCATCAAAAAATTTGTGGACACACTAAACCACCACACAAGACCAAAAAAAAAAAAAAATCGCTCTAAGAAATGATTATAAATGTGATCAAAGAACAACCATAAAGATAAAAACTCAATAGAAGTACTAACAGGTAAAGTTGAAAAAAGTTGCCCAAAAGTCAGAGATGATTAACACAAGAAAAATGGTTTAAAAAAATACAGCTTTAATCCAGAAGTTCAAACACCCAAACTATTGGAATTTTTTTTTTTTTTTTTTTTTTTTTGAGACGGAGTTTTGCTCTTGTTACCCAGGCTGGAGTGCAATGGCGCGATCTCGGCTCACCGCAACCTCCACCTCCTGGGTTCAGGCAATTCTCCTGCCTCAGCCTCCTGAGTAGCTGGGATTACAGGCACGTGCCACCATGCCCAGCTAATTTTTTGTATTTTTAGTAGAGACGGGGTTTCACCATGTTGACCAGGATGGTCTCGATCTCTCGACCTCGTGATCCACCCGCCTCGGCCTCCCAAAGTGCTGGGATTACAGGCTTGAGCCACTGCGCCCGGCCTAACGGAATTTTAAGAGGATCAAAGAACATAAAAGTGGGACATAATTGTATTAGGTTGTTCTTGCATTGCTATAAAGAAATACCCAAGGCTGGATAATTTATAAAATGAAGAGGTTTAATTGGCTCACAGTTCTTCAGAAAGTACAGGAAGCATGATGCTGGCATCTGCTGAGCTTCAGGGGAGGCCTCAGAAAACTTGCAATCATGGCAGAAGGCAAAGGGGGAACATATGTGTCACATGGCAAGAGCAGGAGCAAGAGAGAGTGGATGGGGGCAGATGCCATACACATTTAAACAACCAGACCTCATGAGGACTCACTATTTCAAGGACAGCACCAAGCCATGAGGAATACACCCCATGTTCCCAAACACCTCCCATCAGGCTCCTCCTCCAACACTGGAGATTTTCATTTCGATGCAAGATTCAGGTGACACAAATATCCAAATTATATCAATAATTAAAAGATTTTCCCAGAATTGAAGAACATAAATGTCCAATTTCATAAAAGGATTCCCTACTGCTGAGCACAATGTATTAAAAAATGAGCCAAACCAAAGCATGGAAACATCAGGAATAAAAAGGAGATACTAAAAGCTTCCAGAAAAGACAAATTATATATAAAAAACCAGAACAAGAATGATATGGACCTTCTCAACATTGCATCTAGGTAACAATGAGGTAATGTCTTCAAAATTCTGGGTGAATGAATACAACTTCAATCTTAATTCTATAATCAACTAAATGATTTGCTATGGACTGAATTACAACCCCCCAAACTTTATATATTGAAGCCCTAACCTCCAGTGTGATAGTATATGGGGATGGTGTATTTGGGAGATAATTACGTTTAGAGGCCATGTGGGGGTCAGTGGCAGTGGCTTACACCTGTAATCCCAAAGCTTTGGGAGGCCAAGATGGTAGAACACTTGAGGCCAGGAGTTAGAGACCAGTCTGGACAATATAGCAAAATCCCATCTCTAAAAAAATAGTAAGAGTTGGACATGGTGGTATGTGCCTGTAGTCCCAGCTACTTGAGAAGCTGAGATGCAAGGATCGCTTGAGCCCAGGAGTTTGAGGTTACACTGAGCTATCATCATGCCACTGTACTCCAGCTTGGGTAACAGAACAAGACTTTATAACAACAACAACAAAAGAGGTCATGAGAGTAGAAACCCCCATTATGGGATCCGTGTCCCTAGAAGAGACAACAGAAAACTTACTCTGTTCCTCTCCCCTCCATGTGAGGACACAGTAAGAATGCAGCACTCTGTAAGCTGGAAAGAGGGCCATCACCAGAAATCTGCCGTATTGGCACTCAGACTTTCAGCCTCCAGAACTGTGAGAAACACATTCCATCATTTAAGTTATCCGGTTATGGTACTTCGTCATCATAGCCCACGTAAAGACAGTGTCAATTATTTGTAAGATGTAAACAAAGAAATGTTTGCACATGTAAGTTCTCAGAAACATATGCCTCATGCTGTCCTACGATGTTGTAGCTAATATGCATTATTAAAATGAGGAATAAAGAAGGAAAACAACATGAAATAAAATAAGCAGATTTGACACAGAAAAACCACCAATATAGGAACTATGTAGTTGTGTTGTTTTAAACTGAAAATACAAAATTGGAGGAGAATAGAAGGCTCTGGGGGAAAATGCATATGACATAAATTATCTAACAGGTTTCAACCTGTATATCGTCGACTGAGTGTGGAAAGAATTAGCAATATATACATAAAAATGAAACACTAAAATATAGGATAATTTTAACTCCAAGAAATATTAAAAAGCCTATGAGGCTGGGTGCAGTGGCTCATGCCTGTAATCCCAGCACTTTGGGAGGCCAAAGTGGGAGGATTGCTTGAGCCCAGGAGTTCAAGACCAGCCTGGGCAGCATAGTGAGACCCCCATCTTTTAAAAAGAAAAAAGAAAAGGAAAGGTATATGAAAAATAGCAATAATACAATCTATGGCTCAAAGTAAATAATATTTACATAATTTAAATCAAGTTCTGACATAAGAAATTTTAACACAGTAGACCTGGCCATTCACTGGGAAAGTTATTGTTATGTATTTTTTGTTTTTATTACAATTTTCTAAGCAACATCTAAGATCCAAATTCAATATACCTGAGGTAAGGACTAAAATTATTTATATTTTATTACATTCCTCAGGTATTTTTAAAATGTGGTCAAGTTTGAAAACCATTTTTCCAAAGAATTCTGAGGACAGTGAGATAAACATCTTCATATTTAAATATCACTTTTCCTTCATATTTAAATACTACCACTCTCTAAAATTGTTAGACATGGCTTTCTAATATCTGCAATGAATAAATCTACTTCTCCCCCTAGTTTCCAGAATTATCATCATTTTATAGAATCACAGTGGAGGAAAAAGGAAAGAATTTCTAAAGCAAATCTTTAAATTTTGAGTTCCATGTAATGTTCTTCTCATATTCTTACACACAGACTGGTAACCAGCTCTCTAGGAGTACTAAAGGAAACGAAAGGAAATGACTTAAGCTACAGCAAAATAGCCTGAAAGTAAAGAAGTTTCCTGACATTGAAATGTGTTAAACACTAATGTGGGTGTCCAGAGATGTTATGAAATATTCACTTTGGAGAGTTTTTGGAAAACATCCCATCTGTAGGGGTTTAGAGAATTAAGCCTGAGGAAGGTAACTGGGAAGATTGAAAACATTTACTCATGGCCGGGCGCGGTGGCTCAAGCCTATAATCCCAGCACTTTGGGAGGCCGAGGCAGGTGGATCACGAGGTCAAGAGATCGAGACCATCCTGGTCAACATGGTGAAACCCCGTCTCTACTAAAAATACAAAAAAATTAGCTGGGCATGGTGGTGCGTGCCTGTAATCCCAGCTACTCAGGAGGCTGAGGCAGGACAATTGCCTGAACCCAGGAGGCGGAGGTTGCGGTGAGCCAAGATCGCGCCATTGCACTCCAGCCTGGGTAACAAGAGCGAAACTCTGTCTCAAAAAAAAAAAAAAAAAAAAAAAAAAAAAAAAAAAAAAACATTTACTCATTCATTTATTCATTTAGCAAGTACTTTTTGAGCTACTATTAAGTATCTGACACTGTGTTAGGTGTTGAGTATTTTAAGACAGCATTTTTCAAATTTATTTGATGATGGAATAATCAAATGAAAGTGTGTAATAAATCTCCATCAGAAGAATTTCTAATATATCATGTATATTTGGATAAAAAGAAATAGAAAAAAAATCTCACAAATTAGTTGCTGCAAGAAATAAACAAAATATATCAAGCTTAGAAAAACAGCTTTAATCTCATGCTGTTATAAAACATGATACATGATACACATTTGTAAATTATATTTATTCACTTTTTTTTTTTTTTTTTTTTGAGACGGAGTTTTGGCTCTTGTTACCCAGGCTGGAGTGCAATGGCGCGATCTCGGCTCACCGCAACCTCCGCCTCCTGGGTTCAGGCAATTCTCCTGCCTCAGCCTCCTGAGCAGCTGGGATTACAGGCACGTGCAACCATGCCCAGCTAATTTTTTGTATTTTTAGTAGAGACAGGGTTTCACCATGTTGACCAGGATGGTCTCGATCTCTCGACCTCGTGATCCACCCGCCTCGGCCTCCCAAAGTGCTGGGATTACAGGCTTGAGCCACCGCGCCCAGCCCTTACTCACATTTTTATAGAAGATTCAACTAAATTTTTTCAGAACTTGTAGGATTTCATCAAGGTGATCAGTTACAAGACAAATATACAAATCAGTTTTATTTTCTAAAATTAGTTATAAAATGTAATGGAAATGTTGGAGTAGGGATCTGTTCCCTAGAGCAATCAAAACAATGAAATACCTATGGATAAGATTATAAAGAAACATATAAGCTCCATTTAAAGTATCTGGTAGTAGTTTACTGAAATGCATGTTTTTGTTTGCTTGTTTGTTTTTTGAGATGGAGTTTCATTCTTGTCTCCCAGGCTGGAGTGCAATGGGGCTCTCGGTTCACTGCAACCTCTGCCCCCCAGGTTCAAGCAATTCTCCTGCCTCAGCCTCCCAAGCAGCTGGGATTACAGGCACCTTCCAGCATGTGCCCAGCTAATTTTTGTATTTTTAGTAGAGACGAGGTTTCGCCATGTTGGCCAGGCTGGTCTCAAACTCCTGAATGCAGGTGATCCACCCGACTTGGCCTCCCAAAGTGCTGGGATTACAGGTGTGAGCTACCGTGCCCAGCCTGAAATACATGCTAAAGAACATTTAAAAAATGGAGAATTCCTAGAATGGAAATTCTTTCAGTGTTGTTAAAATGTCAGTTCCCTGCAAATTAACCTATAGATTTAATGCAATTCTAAATAAATTCCCATATGTAGATGGGTAGATAAGCTGGTGTAACATGGAAAATGGATTCTAAAGTTCATTAAAGAGAATAAAATACATTAAGCAGAAATAGATGCTACATTGACTATGGAAGTTTAATTCCTCTCCCTTTAGTCCCACCTAAAAATGTATTAAATGGATTTTTGAAAAGGATAAATTCACAAGGAAAATCGGGAACACCAACTTACAAAAGATATCAACAAATTTTGGGAAGATGAAAAACAGATGGAGAAATGAGAACAGAGAAGAGGAGGATGCCATAAGTTAACTACCAAAAACACGCATATTGACTCACCTCACTTAAACCCTGGGAGACTCAAAATATGGTTAAACCAATTGCCCTAGTTTTGGAGATCCTAACAGCTGATTGCCCTCCAATGAATCCCTACATGTCAAGGAGTACACCCAGCCTTTTTGGAGCCTCTTTATAAAATATAAACTGATAGCCTGGGTCACCAGGTATTTGAGGAAAGCATCCTGCCCAGGCTGGAGTGCATGGCATGGTATCTGCTCACTGCAACCTCTGCCTCCCAGGTTGAAACCATTCTCCTGCCTCAGCCTCCCAGGTAGCTGGGATGACACATATGCACCACCACGCCCAGATAATTTTTTTTTTTTTTTTTTTTTTTAGTAGAGATGGGGTTTCACCATGCTGGCCAGGCTGGTCTCAAACTCCTTACCTCAAGTGATCCACCCACCTCGGCCTTCCAAAGTGCTGGGATTAGAGACATGAGCCACCACAATGGCCTATAATCGGTAGAATTTTAATAAACTTTGTAGAAAAAAGTACTGTATCAATGATAAATTTCCAGGTTTTCATAATTGCACTGTTGTTACATAAATGAACATCTTTGTTCTTAGAAAATATACAATTGGTTAAAAAAAAAGGGGGGGGGGGGGCCGGGCGCGGTGGCTCAAGCCTGTAATCCCAGCACTTTGGGAGGCCGAGGCGGGTGGATCACGAGGTCAAGAGATCGAGACCATCCTGGCTAACATGGTGAAACCCCGTCTCTACTAAAAATACAAAAAATTAGCAGGGCATGGTGGTGCGTGCCTGTAATCCCAGCTACTCAGGAGGCTGAGGCAGGAGAATTGCCTGAACCCAGGAGGCAGAGGTTGCAGGTGAGCCGAGATCGCGCCATTGCACTCCAGCCTGGGTAACAAGAGCGAAACTCCGTCTCAAAAAAAAAAAAAAAAAAAAAAAAAGGACATTAAAATGACATCTAATTCCATATTAGCAGGCTGGACGTGGTGACTCATGTGTTGGCCTGTAATTCCAGCACTTTTGAGGTCCAGGAGGGCAGATCACTTGGAGTTTGAAACCAGCCTAGCCAACATGGCAAAACTCTGTCTCTATTAAAAATACAAAAATTAGTCAGGTGTGGTGAAGTAAGCCTGTAGTCCCAGCTACTAGGGCTGAGGCACAAGAATCTCTTAAACCTGGGAGACAGAGGTTGCAGTGAGCTGAGATTGTGCCACTGCACTCCAGCCTGGGCAACAGAGCAAGACTCTGTCTCAAAAAACAACACAACAAAATACCAGACTCAGCAAGAGCTTCATGTTATTACAGTTCAGGTTACACTGTGCCACCAAATGAGTTCAGGTCATAAAAGATTTTGCCACGAGATTTATGAAAAGAAAAAAAACGATAGTTTTCAGAGCACCTGAGGTTTCTAAATTGTTGATAAGAGACTGTTGACCTGTAATACACAGGAGGATTACCTGGCACAAGGCAGGATAGGCCAGGCACGGTGGCTGGTGCCTGTAATCCTAGCACTTTGGGAGGCTGAGGTGGGTGGATTACTTAAGGCCAGGAGTTTAAGACCAGCCTGGACAACACAGTGAGACTCCATCTCTACCAGAAAATTAAACAGTTAGCCAGCTGTGGTGGCATTCACCTGTAATCCCACTGCTTTGGGAGGTTGTGGTGGAAATGTTGGCGGGTTTGGGGGTGCAGGGGAGCACTCAGCTCACTCCCTGGTGGGCTCCAGGCTCTTGGTCTCTCGCTCTCTCAAGAATGGGAGAGGGGATCACGGTGGGTGCACAGGTAAAGTAAATACCGGACCCGAAAAGTTTTTGTGGAAAAGTGATGTATTGAAGCCGGGAGAGAAAAAGGAGGAGGAGAAAGAGCTAGCTCACTCTGCGTGGGAAGGGTCCCCAGAGCGGGGAAACCAGAGAAGGAACGCTCCTGTCACCTGAGTGAGAGAATCCAGAAAGACAGAATCAGGAGAGGAAAGCAGCTGCCACACTGAGCGGAAGGGAACAGAGAACCACGGTGTTTAAGAGAGGAAGCCAGGTTTCCACAAGAGAGCGTGGACTCCGGAAAGACATCCATGCGAGAAGGGAGGCAGGGACCTTCAACAGGAACTCCCACCTCCTCCAGGCCCCTGGCCAATGAAAAGAGTTCCTTTAAACTTCCGCTGCAGTGATTGACTTTCCATCTTATTCCTGCGCCCGCGAAAATTCGAACAGCAACCATTACATCTCCCGGATGGAGAGGCTGGGAGCAGGCATGGCGCTGGGAAGTTCTTACCCTTCCAACCGCTCGCCGGTGTGGACACGGAGAGCGAGCACGTCCCTCAGGAGCACGTCCCTCAGGAAGGTCGTTCCAGCCCCAGAGGCTGAGGCTGCGGTGAGCTGCGGCCACACCACTGTACTGCAGCCGGGGTCACAGAGGGAGAGCCCGCCTCTGGGAAGGAGTCGGCCGGCACGGAGGCCACGTGGAGGCGGAGGCCGGAGACATGGAACCCGGGGCGCGGAGATCCCGCCACTGCACTCCAGCTGGGGACTGTGACAGAGCGAGGCTCCATCACATCAAAAAAAAAAAAAAAAAAAAAAGGCAGATGATCCCCTAAACTTAAAACGTACTAATTAGTACGTTTTAGTAGTTGCCTTACTAACCGGACCACGCTAGCAGTCTAAGAGGTGACATTTACTGAGCATTTATGATGTGTATGTACACAACCGTGTAGAGTAACTCTTTAGTTCTCAAAACAACCTCAGAAAGCAGGTCCTGGTATCATTCTCATTCTACAGCTGAGGAAACTTTACACATGTAAGTTATGGACCTCAGCCAAGTTCATGCAACCTCATGGAGCCAGAGATGACTACTTACTGTGTAACCCCAGAAATTCTTTAACTACTCTAAGCCTCCATTCCTTCATCTGAACTGTGGGATCTCTACCCCTAAAGGATTGTTTTGGGAATTAAACAATACACATTTTTAAGTGTCTTTGGAAATTTAAGTCAGAGCTAATTTGGCCCAGCAAGGGAAATATACGAAGGAGCTATAACCACGAACACTGCTCAGGCTAACATTTACAGCGATCGATTGACCGATATAATACTACAGTGCTCTAAACAAAAATGGAAAAAGAAATTACCAGAAAGAAGTCCTTTCTTGTCTTTGCACCTCAGCTGTGTTGCAATTTAGCTACTTCTTCTGAACTCCTTCAGAAGCACTGGGGTAACTGTTGGTAAAGGCTGTTTTATTTTCTGGATGAGGACTAAAGCGATCCCATGAGCACTGTTTCATCTGCACCAGGACTCTCTTATTGAGGGGTAGAGGAGAGTGGTTTCACAGGGGAGGAGAGGATAGGAAGAAAACCACCAATCATTTGAAGGGCTTTCTCACCCGACATCCACATGCTGAAGATTTCAATACCTGCCCCACCGCATCAGCAGCACCTGCCTCTGTGGCCCATCCCCACTCTAAGGCCTCGACTCTTATATGGACACGCTACTATTAACGTTCTATCCTTCGAGTGTGAAAGGGCAGAACCATGGTTGACAGACACTAATTTAACCGAACAGTTTCAATCAGTGGTTCTCAGAGTATGGGGATCAGCAGCAGCAGCATTACGTAGAAATGTGTTAGAAATGCAAATTTATAAATCCCTTCCCAGGAGTACAGACTTGGGAACCCTGAGGGTAGAACGCAGCAATTTGTGTTTCAGCAAGTCTTCAAGGTGAGTCTGAAGCTCTCTAGAGTTTGAGATCCACTGGTCTAAGTTCTTATTCACACAAGCAGTTTTCGATCATTTGACTGGAAGAAAATTCAAGAACGTGTGTTCATGCATTAACCACTTCCTAAAAACCGCGAAACGCATTTATATAATCTTCCTGATCAGAGAAAACATCTAAAAACATCTAAATACTTAAAGACATTTGTGAAAAGAAAATAAATCTTGGAACCCCAGACTCACTAAGCCAAAAGGAAAAGTCAAGCTGGGTCATGCAAACCTGCCTATTTTGGTTCCTAAATAAGATGGCTACAAAGATGAAAAGCTACATACATACCTCCCGCAGATTTTGCCCAGGAGGAAATTCCTTGTGGGCCCCCAGATCTCTACCCTAAAGCGGTTCTGTTGAAGCTCACCATGGCAATTTAAATCAACAGCTTATCTTCACAGGTGTGAGGACATAGAACAGAACTCAAAATCATCCCTCTGCTCACCTGAGACAAATGTGTATCTGATTGCTTCCCCTGCCCTATTTGTCTATGATGTCTTATGTAAAAATGCAGATTCGCTGAGCCAGACAGAGGCATGAATGACTATTTTCCCCTACCCACTTCTCACATGAAAATTGTGTACTTCCCAGCATCTTGCCCTTTCCCCTTTAAATACTGAAGTCCTCAAAATCACCTTCAAAGAAAGGCGTAGACCTGTCTCCCAGGCACATGTTTTTATCTTTCGCTAATAAACCTCCTAAAATGACTGCGACCTGCCTCGATAATTTTCTTTGATTTATACAATAAAGAAATTCATTTTAAAATAAAGCAAACTAATTTCCCATATCTGAATTGTGACAAGAATTTGAACTTTTTTCTGAAGAATGGCTTCAGAAAGGGAAAAGAAGTTCCCATATAAATTTCAAATTTCTCAACACTCACAACTTAAAATGTTTTTACATAAAATTCATTAACAATTAATTCCTTGACATACTTTAGTTATTATCTTTTCTTTCCTCCAGGGAAACCATGCAGCAGACAGAACTGTGATTTTTGGGGAGGCAGCTGTACCTCCTTTGGTCTTACTGTACTCTGAAAGAAATACAAAAAGGAAATAAATACCAAGGTCGGGAAGGACAAACTTAGGAACGAAGCTGTCTTCTTTTACCGTGAAATACTCATGCTACCTAAAAAAAAGAGACAATTGAGTCATTTTTTACAAATTAAGACTTAAATGAATTAATCTTTGTTAAAATAGCAAAATATATGAAAAAATACCAACAAAATAGTGTTTTGTGTATTTTTGGAATTAAAAAGGGACTTAGAGTCTGAAATGTCAAGTGACTTTTACATGTTTTATTATTTTTTAAAAGAACTTGTGATTATGTTTTATGAACAAGGTACAATGTCATCAGTCCAGGTAGGCATAAGCTGAGCAAAAAGAAAAAAACCTTCTTTCTCCAGGTATTATAAATGGATCCATTTGTGGTGAACATGCTGGTTAATTAGGGGTTATGACATTGAACAGGGTATGTCAATGCAGAAATGTGAACAGGGATGGTAAATTCCATTACTCAGTAAAATTTCATGCATAAAAATTAAAAATGAATAGGAATTCATGGAATTAAAACCTGATGCAGAGTAGATGTTTAAAGTATAGTGTTAGGCCGGGCGTGGTGGCTCAAGCCTGTAATCCCAGCACTTTGGGAGGCAGAGGCAGGTGGATCACGAGGTCAAGAGATCAAGACCATCCTGGTCAACATGGTGAAACCCCGTCTCTACTAAAAATACAAAACATTAGCTGGGCATGGTGGCGCGTGCCTGTAATCCCAGCTACTCAGGAGGCTGAGGCAGGAGAATTGCCTGAACCCAGGAGGCGGAGGTTGCAGTGAGCCGAGATCGCCTCATTGCACTCCAGCCTGGGTAACAAGAGTGAAACTCCATCTCAAAAAAAAAAAAAAGTATAGTGTTGATGTGTTTCTATTCTTTCAGTGTATTTTTAAAATGTGGATATATATATATATATATATATATAGAGAGAGAGAGAGAGAGAGAGAGAGAGAGAGAGAGAGAGACAGAGAGAGAGAGAATAGAAGCTTTTAATGAATAAGCTTAAGCTCTTTCCCAGTCAACATTTTGGGAGTTTTCAAAATCAAAAGGATTTTCTTTTGCATTGTCCCTATTATTTCACCTATACTCCTAAAGTACATAAGATACAAGTATTATTTTGACCTATACCCCACTTTCAGCATTGAACAGACAGCAAATCAACAAGGAAACATTGGACTTAATCTGTATCATACACCAAGTGGACCTAATAGATATTTAGAGAATATTTCATCTAACAGCTACAGAATACAGCTAATGTTTTCAGTACATAGATGAAGAATAGAGCATATGTTAGGCCATAAAACAAGTATTAAATATTTGAAAAAATTAAAATAATTTCAACTATCTTCTTTAACCACAATGGAATAAAACTGGAAATCAATCACAAGAGAAATGCTGGAATCTACATAAACACATGGAAATTAAACAATATGCTCCTAAATGACCAGTGGGTCAATGAAGAGATTAAGGAGGGAATTTGAAAAATTTGACGGCCAGGCGCGGTGGCTCAAGCCTGTAATCCCAGCACTTTGGGCGGCCGAGGCGGGTGGATCACAAGGTCGAGAGATCGAGACCATCCTGGTCAACATGGTGAAACCCCGTCTCTACTAAAAATACAAAAAAATTAGCTGGGCATGGTGGCACGTGCCTGTAATCCCAGCTACTCAGGAGGCTGAGGTGGGAGAATTGCCTGAACCCAGGAGGCGGAGGTTGCGGTGAGCCGAGATCGCGCCATTGCACTCCAGCCTGGGTAACAAGAGCGAAACTCCATCTCAAAAAAAAAAAAAGAAAAAGAAAAAGAAAAATTTGACAAAAACAATAATGAAAACACAACATACCACAACCTATGGGATACAAGGAAAGCAGTAATAAGAAGAAAGTTTATAGATATAAGTGCCTACATCAAAATAGAAAAAGAAAAAAACTGCAAGAAAAACCCAAACTAATGATATATCTTAAAAGAACTAGAAAAGCAAGAGCAAACCAAATCCAAAATTAGACGAAAAGAAAGAATAAAGATCACGGCAGAAATCAATGAGTTTTTAGCATGCAAGGGTATTGAATTTTATACAAAGCCTTTTCTGCAACTATTGAGATAATCATGTGGTTTTTGTCATTGGTTCTGTTTATGTGATGGATTACACTTACTGATTTGCATATATTGAACCAGCTTTGCATCCCAGGGATGAAGCTGACTTGATTGTGATGGACGACCTTTTTGTTGTGCTGCTGGATTCAGTTTGCCAGTATTTTATTGGGGATTTTTGCATCAATGTTCATCAGGGATATTGGCCTGAAATTTTTTTTGTTGTGTCTCTGCCAGGCTTTGGTATCAGGATGATGCTAGCCTCGTAAAATGAGTTAGGGAGGAGTCCCTCTTTTTCTATTGTTTGCAGTATTTCAGAAGGAACCATATCAACTCCTCTTTGTACCTCTCGTAGAATTCAGCTATGAATCACTCTGCTCCTGGGCTTTTTTTGGTTCGTAGGCTATTAATTACTGCCTCAATTTCAGAACTTGTCATTGGTCTATTCAGGGATTTGACTTCTTCATGATTTAGTCTTTGGAAAGGTATGTATGTCCAGGAATTAATCCATTTCTTCTAGATTTTCTAGGTTATTTGCATAGAAGTGTTTATAGTATTCTCTGATGGTAGCTTGTATTTCTGTAGGATTGATGGTTAATATCCCCTTTATCATTTGTTTTTTGAGACGAAGTTTTGCTCTTGTTACCCAGG